TTTGTAGAAGTTGGGATTTTAGCTGGGGCTTGAATGAAGGTAAGAGGCAGAGGCAAGAAGGGAGAAAATTCCAGGCATGAGGGACAGACAGTAAAAATGCCTGGAATTAGGGGAGGGGGTGTCTTGTTGGAGAAAAAGCAAGGAGAGCAGTGTTACTGGATGGCAGAGTAGGTGGGAGAAAGTAACTTTTCATAAGGCTGGAAAGGCTGTTCAAGCAATCATATATTATCTAACCATATGAACTTCCCAGGAACTCAGGGTTTGTATATCCTTTGGGGCCATTTTCAGAAATAACACCTCCCTGGTTCTCAACCTTTCTAATGTATCAAAACAAACTGTGTCAAGGCAAGGCAAAACTCCAGTTATGTTCATTGTGTGGTAATGCTGTTCTTTGTTCTCAACAGGAGAACTACTAGATGGACAGAGAGGACTGGTCCCTTCCAACTTTGTGGATTTTGTCCAGGATAATGAATCCCGCTTGGCCAACACACTGGGGAGTGAACAGGATCACAATTTTATCAACCATTCTGGTGTGGGCTTGGAAGGAGAAAGCATCCTAGATCTGAATTCGCCCACCCAAGGAGACTCCAGCATCATCAACGATGGGGCTGGGACGCTGGATGTGAACATTGATGAGATTGGAGAAGACATTGTGCCTTACCCTAGACGAATCACCCTTATCAAACAACTAGCCAAAAGTGTTATTGTGGGCTGGGACCCCCCGGCTGTGCCACCAGGATGGGGGACAGTGATCAGCTACAATGTCCTTGTTGACAACGAGACCCGCATGAATCTCACCCTGGGGAGCAGAACTAAAGCCCTGATTGAAAAGCTGAATATTGCAGCCTGCACGTACCGGATCTCCGTGCAGAGCATCACAAACCGGGGGAACTCGGACGAGCTCCAGTGCACCTTGCTCGTGGGCAAGGATGTCATCGTGGCCCCTTCCCACTTACGGGTGGACCACATCACTCAGATTTCAGCTGAGCTCTCCTGGCTCCCAACCAACAGCAATTACAGCCACGTCATCTTTCTCAACGAGGAGGAGTTTGACATCGTCAAGGCCGCAAGGTATAAGTATCAGTTTTTTAACCTGAAGCCCAACATGGCTTACAAGGTGAAGGTTTTGGCGAAACCCCACCAGATGCCGTGGCAGCTTCCTCTGGAGCAAAGAGAAAAGAAGGAGGCCTTTGTGGAGTTTTCTACTCTGCCAGCAGGTTGGTCCCATTGTCTCCCTTGTATTTAATTCAGTGAACCTCTTAAAAGCCTCCTAGGTACAAGGCACTGTGCTAAGCATTTCATAGATAACAATTATTGAAGAAAAATCATTAACATTAATACTGTACTACATGTTTTAGGTTCATCTACCAGAAACAATTCTATTTTATTTAACATTAATTTAACATACAGATATTCCTAGCTTGGAGGGAAAGATGTCCAAATTGTAATAGTCCTCCACGTCTATTGACGTAACTTTCTGCCCCAAGCTAATTTTAGGTAACCTTTATCAGAATCTTGAACAAAACAAAGATCTCAATATATAAAAATACAGTTGGGGTTTATTATCCAGAATTGTTATATAAGCAAGTCACCATCTCATTCATCCCATTTCCTAGTGGGAAGGATGGGATATCAAGATGGAAAATCTTTTCTGAATAGAGGACATGAAGCTGCCTCCCTTTCATAGGAGTAGAGGATATTTCCCTTAGGTGGGTCCTTTAGGGGTGGAGAAGACAGTAATACAAATAAGAAAAAAGTTATTCCTTGTTAAAAGGTTGGGTTTCTCCACCTTGGGCGGCTAGGTGGCACCATAGTGCACAGAGCACTGGGCTTAGAATCAGGGAGATTAATCTTCCTGAGTTCAAATCTGGCCTCAGACACTTCCTAGCTGTGTGACCCTGGGCAAGTCACTTAACCCTATTTACCTCAGTTTCCTCATCTGTAAAATGAGCTGGAGAAGGAAATGGCAAACCACTCCAGTATCTTTGCCTGGAAAACTCCAATGGGGTCACAAAGAATTAGACATGACTAAACAACAACACTTCCCCCTTAATCCATTTCTCTAAAAAAAAGCCCTTTTGTCCCCAACTTATCCAACTTTGCAAGGATTTTAGAAAGGGCTTTTTAAAACAAAGAAATTTTTTTCTTAATATTTCTAGAGAAACTAATGAGGAGGTTTTTAATATGCTTCTACATAATGCTATAGTCCCTACCCCTGGTAGCTTCTCCAGGGGTAGGGAACCTGTGGCCTCAAGGCCACACGTGGCATTGTAGGAACTTGGGTGCAGTCTTTTGACTGAATCCAAACTTCACAGAACAAATCCCTTTAATAAAAGGATTTGTTCTGTAAAACTTGGACTCAGTCAAAGGGCCACGCTTGAGGACCTAAAGGGCCAAATGTGGCCTCGAGGCTGCAGGTTCCCCACCCCTGTATCTATTCTTTTAGACAGATAGAGCAGGATAGGGTGTTATGTATGGGAGGGACCACTGTCAGTTATGGATACAGGGGAGATGCTCCATGGCCTCAGATAAGAGATATAGTAGATAAGGTGTTTATGGGTAGGGGAGAATACTATCATTCAAGGGTTTGGGGAGGATGCAGCAGGATACCAGATAAATGTATACAAGGCAAGGTGTTATGGTTAGAAGAGAATACCATCAACCATGGGTATAGGGAAGATAGCCCTAGATAAGAATAATACAAGGTTTGGGGTGTTATAAATAGGAGAGAATAGTATCAAAAAGGGAAGGGGGATCACTCTGAATAATCAACAGGATCATAATTTCACTGAGGTCTGGGGTGAGTGGGTGGCAGCAGGAGAGATTTTGTGCAAAAGGTGGTACCTGAGCTGATTCTTGAAGGAAGAAGAAGCTGCATAGAGGTGCCATATTTAGCCATTCCCAGATGGTCCATTTCACCCAGATTATAGAATATGGGAAATATGTCGGTGTTTGTTTGAGGGGTTTATGAAATGAGTCTTAAAAGGTAGGTTAGCTCTAAATTATGACAGTCTCTAAATGTCAGGCCAAAGAGTTGATAGGAGAGCCACCAAAGCTTCTTAAGCCAAGGAATGGCATGCTTTAGGAAGATTATTTTGACAAGTATATGAAGGACAGAATAAAGAAGTGAGATACTGGAGGCAGGAAGAACAGTTTAGAAGGTTTTTACTGTAGCTCCAGTGAGAAGTCATGAAGACCCTGTCATAAAGTGGCAGCAGCATGAATGGAAAGTAGGGGACAGATTGCCAAGATGTCGTAGAGACAGTATCAAAAGGAATTAGCAATTGGAGGCCAAGAAAGAGAAAGGGATCCTACAATATCCCCTGAAAATGACTGAGGTTTTAAGTCTGAGTGATTGGGAGAGTGGTGTCATCATCAATGAAAATGGAGAAATTGGAAGGAGAGGCAGCTCTAAGGAGGGAGAAATAAATAATGATGATGATAATAATGGTGATGATGATGACTAACATTTACATAACACTAAGGTTTGCAAAGGGCTTTACATGTGTTACTTCACTTGATTTTTATAACACTATAAGGTAGGTTTTTAATTCCCTTTTTACAGATGAAGAGATTGAGAGGTAAAATCTAGGGTCACAGGGCTAGTGTCTCTGGCTGGACTTGAACTCAAGTCTTGCTTGCTCCAGGTTCAGCTGTCTATCCACTGCACCATCTGGCTACCTCAGATGAATGCTACATTGGACATGTTGGGTCTCAGGTGTTGGTGGGACTCCAGGGTGGACCTATTTCCCGGGAAATGGAAGATGTGCAGCTGCAGCATAGGAGAGAGATTAGGGTATTCTATCTATGTCTAAATCTGTATTTATATCTATAGTTTTGGAGATTAGGATACTACATCTAAAGAGAGAGAGAGATAGATAAATGGATGGATGGATGGACAGATAGATAGGATGTGTCTATCAACATCTAAGAGTCATCTGCATAGTGATGGTAATTAAGCCCATGGGAGCTGATGAGGTCATCAAGAGAGAAGGTATAGATAGATAAAAAAAAGAGACCCTAGAACAATAAGAGGCAGATGTTCAACTAGGCGAGGCAACCACTGATCAGATGGTTTAAACACTAAGTCTTTGGTGTCTATAGTAGCCCCTGGTGACTGGTTAAGAGAATTGAGACATGACCTCTGCCCTACCCTGGGTTTTTTTTTTTGTCCTGTAATATAATCTGGTAGACAGCTAGAAGATTTATGAAACACAAACACACACACACACACACACACGCCTCCCCTCACTGCAAGAGTTCAACATTCATGGTACAGTAGAAAGATTGCTGAAATTTAGAAAAAGAGGATCCAGATTCAAGTCCCAGCCCTGCCAAATATGACCCATATTTTTGTTGTGTTATTCGGTCATTTTTTAGTTGTGTCCACCTCTCTGTGACCCCAACTGGGGGTTTTCTTGGCAAAGATACTGGAGTGGTTTGCCATTTCTTTCTCCAGCTCATTTTACAGATGAGGAAACTGAGGCAGACAGGGGGAAGTGACTTGTCCAGGATCACACAGCTAGGACATGTCTGAGACCAGACTTGAACTCAAGAAAATGAGTCTTCCTGACTCACTGTGGTGCCATCTGGCTGCCCTGTGACCTGTGTTACTTTGGGTAAATCACTTCTCCTCTTTTTGCCTCAGATTTCTCAATTGTGAACTGGACTAGATGACCCCTAAGGACTCCTCCAGCTCTGAGTCTATGACCTTACAATTCCCCAAGGACCTGCAATCTGCCAGAAACTATGTTGGACAAAAAACAACAATATCAAAAAATAGTCCCTGTCTTCAGGAAGGGCAGCTAGGTGGTGCCGTGGATAGAGTGCAGGCCTTGGAGTTAGGAAGACTCCTCTTTCTGAGTTCAAATCCAGCTTCAGACACTTACTAGTTGTGTGACCCTGGTCAAGTCACTTAACTCTGTTTGCCTCAAAGACAAAGTGAAAGTCCAGCAAAAAGGGGGTGAGGGTGGGGCGGGGACAATAATTAGAAACAGAAAAATTCCAAAGAACAGCTTTTCTATGTCATCTCTCATTTATTCTTTTTACCAAACATTCCCTGTCTGTTTTCTCATTCTAATGTTGCCCATGATTCTCACTTAATGTTCAATGCTAAAATCAATTGCTGTTCTTGTTCAGTTGCTTTCAGTCATGTCTAACTCTTTGTGATCCCATTTGGGGTTTTCTTGGTAAAGATGCTGGAGTGGTTTGCCATTTCCTTCTCCAGCTCATTTTACAGATAAGGAAACTGAGGCCAACAAGGTTAAGCAATTTGTACAGGGTCACACAGCTAGTGTCTGAGGCCAGATTTGGACTCAGGTCTTCCTGATTCCAGACCCAGCACTCTATCCCCCGTGCCACCTAACTGCTAAAATCAATACTAAATAAAGCCAGAGGATCAGATAGAATGTAAACTCCTTGAAGTTTACATAAGAGACTTATTTCATTTTTATCTTTGCATCTGCAACACCTAACCCAGTACCTGTCATGTAATTCAGTACTCCAATGGATATATGTTCTCTTTGATGCAAATTTTCCCTTCAAAGGTGAAGATCAAAACCCATCTACACCCCCCATCCTGTGCAATTTCCCCATGTCATCCCATAAGTTTGCCATGAGGGGTCTGCCAGGCATGCTGGGAAACTTTCTCGATTTCTGTTAGCATCTTGAGACTGCCAAAGGTATTTATACTGCATCAATCAATCAACAGATATTTATTAGGCTCTTAATGTGTGTTAGGTCCTATACTAAGTGCTGGGAATACAAAGAAAAAACAAAACTAGTTTCACCTTGCCCTCAGCGAGTTTATATTCTAATTTGGAAGACTAGATGTACATAAGTAGATATGTACAATATGTTTGCTACTTTATGACCTTGGACATCTCCATTTTACAGACAAGGAAACTGAGGCTGAGGGGTGAACTGAATTGCTCAGGGTCACACAAGCTTATAAGTGTCTGAGGAAGAACTTGAATTCAGGTCTTCTTGATTCCATCTACCTGTTATACCACCTAGCTGCCTGTGATGATGGGAGTATAGAATGGAAAGGAAGAGAGGTAAAATGAGTGATGAAAAGTGATCTAATTTGGCTGGAATGTTGACTAAGAGGGAATACGGCACAAGTTATGACTGGGAAGGTAATCTGAAGCTGGATGATGAAGGACCTTGAACACAAAGGTCAGGGGTCATATGTCATTCTATAAACAATGGGGAGCCC